GTTTCCACGAGAATTTTTTCGATATTATTTTCGGACAGCAACCACGTAGCGCGGGAAAGTTTTTTCAAATTTGAACTCCGAAGAGGAACTAGGAGCAGGGATCAGTGTAGTATTTATACTGTAGAAGAAAGAAGAGAACTTACCTTTCGTTTGCCCCTCACGACACTGGGCTAGCGCAACCAGAATCTAGTCGGGCACAACGCCAGGATGGGAGGAGTAGGACGCTGCGACTCTCGTCACAGTCCTTGAGCTGCACGGAGCACCCTAGGGTGATTACATGGAAGGGACTTTTTTTCGCGAGCTTCACTCATGAGCTAAAGCCTCAACTCTTTCTTTCTTTTCAACGAAGGGATTCTTTTCACATCTATTCTCTCTGTCTACGTGTGGACTCTATGTATGTGCTACGTGTGGACTCTATGTATGTGTAAATTGAAAATAGACGTACGAATCGATTGAGTTAAAACTGATGAGGAATGTTCACTAACAGTTGCTTTCTAAGGGTATAGATGTTTATGGGATCTTTAAACAAGCGCAGGAAACTTGCATCACCAAACGAGAGCCGGAGCGTGATCTGACCGTACAGGTGTCTTCGACTGTTCATAAGCTCACAATGAGCGTACTAACCTAGCGGGCGATTACACCCGTTCAGCAAGGTGTTTACACAACAATGGCAGACAACAACATGGAGAGCAAGACGTTCCAAAGTGCTACAACTGTAGAGAACCCGGACACCTATCGAGAAGGTGTATCAAGCCAAGACGCTATCAACCACGAGGAGAGTCAAGTTCCCAAAGTGCAGCCTCGACTTCACATAACACTGAATGACAGATTGTTCCTGTGAGGGGGCCGGGTGCCATTCAGAACTATGGCGGGCACCAGAACCGGAACTATGGCGGGTACAATGGAGGGCAGAGCAACARCGGCTACAACAACGGAGGACACARCCACCACCAAACGAACCTAACCTCGAACAAAGACATCGTCGACGCAGTGCTAATGATGAAGGAGTTCTGCGCCACAATACTAGAAGAAAAGAGAATGGAGGCACARCGCCGCAAGGAGGATGAAGACCAAAGAAGAAGGRAAGAAGAAGAAACCAAGAAGAAGGAGGACAAAGAACGYCGCGACTTGGAGAAGAAGCAAAAAGACTTAGAAAGGGAAGCGAGGATTGCCGTACTCATTGACACCAAACTGGGCAAGCAAGACAACGGGTACCAAGTCATCATAGAACAATTGGCGGAACAAGCAAAGCTACTCAAGGAGGCGGTCGACCAAATGAAGGCAGGGAATGCGAACAACCCGACTATGGTCGAGGACATAAKGAGAGACGTCTTCCTACTSAGAAAAGCGRAAATAGAACGAAACCGGAGAAAAAGAKGGAAGGAGTTGGCAAGTGATGAAGGCRAAGAACCACCAGTGGCAAAGCAAAGAATAGAACCACCGAAGACAAACGAGCAGAAGCTACAAGAAGAACTGGAGCAGATGCGAAGGCTACACCAAGAACAAATGGAGACAATGCGAGCAAAGATAGCACGTCTGAAGTCTTCAACGAACGGGACGAATACTCCCTCGTCCTCGAAGAAGGTGCCGAACACGCCTGCAACAGGACCAAGAGCATTGGACCGACTTTTCGCGAAGATCGAATCAGCACGACGACGAGGAACGAAAGCGAGAACACGAAGGGAGGAACCCGAGGCAGAAGAACCTCTGGGTTTCGACGGAATCTTACCAGGAAGAAAGGGGGCCGTAGCCGCACCTGGACCAGAGGGAAGGCTGRMGTACATATATGACAYGAAGAAACACCTGYGGAACRAGAATGTCAAGCAACTCGAGAAAATGTGCAAGGACGAAAAACTCAAGCCGACAAGTTGGYGGAAGGAGGACATGATCAATGCTCTGGCTGAACAACGAGCTGTCAACGCATACGGCAAGCAAGCTGCTGCGGAACCCGTAAGGATCAACGAACAAGCTAACACGACGGCAAGTGATAGCGAGGAGATCAACTAATGAGAAGGGACCGGACCTGCCACACACCTGGAGACGATTCCAAGAAGAAAGCCACACTCCGCGACGAAGGAATGGGAGCAAGGAAGAAAGGAGCCAATGCGAGCATAAGCCGCGGATGACGATCGTGACATTAGCAAAGCAAGGCAAAATCAAGTGGCTGAAGAAGTTTTACAGTGGAACGTCCGGGTGGAAGACTCACGACGGTGACTGGTTCCGGAACACCAAATCTTGTGTCTACACATTAGTGTCGCCGTACTACAGGGCGACCTACATCGGATAGACGAGCAGGATACTAAGCGAGCGATGGGACGAGCACAGGAGAGCAACGGAAGTGGCGACGAACGGGAAAGACCACAAAGTGTACAGATGGATGCGGAAGAGAGACTGGAGAGACTACGTAGCCATGCCAAAATCGTAGAATGCGAGAAGTCAGATCTGGCGGCCGTAGAAGAATTTTATATTCGGTCCTTTTGCCCGGCCTTAAACGGTAGACAGAACAGACATAAGGGTAGAAGGAAGAATAGACAAGGCAGGAGAGAGAGAAGAGCACGAAGCTCCCAACGTACTGTCGAGGGGGTGGCTGCACCAGTAAGCGTACAATTTGATGACAAGCTATGTTATTCGATTATAGGGATATTACAAYAAATTCGAAATAATGGAGGGAAGGGAATTATGGCGATAGGGAGAGGAAGTAACTSGTGCGAAAAATGGTCCATCATCAAACAATGTTATGGCTTCTCGGAGATTTGGTATGATGGACGGAAAATACTGTTAAAAGAACTCAAACTACCGAATGTGCAAGGGTTGACGTGCGAAGTACTAAGGGTAGTTTTCAACCAATGCAGAGACGGATACGATCTACTAGTTGCACTGCTCAGAATACCGATCTACCAATGAACGCTATACGGGATAAATTTCACAATAGACAGGCTTATTCGATTATACAGTCAGGCTACTCAAGGTCAAGAGAGACAGGGCCGTTAAGCGTGGGATAATCACACGTACTATAAAATCCAGATTTAAAACCAACGTTAGACGCCGACTGCTGGTCAAGATCAGATACGAAGAGGGATTAAGGATGTACGAAATAAGTAAGATCTGCAAAGAAAGGATCAGAACGATATGTNCCGTACTACAGGGCGACCTACATCGGACAGACGAGCAGGATACTAAGCGAGCGATGGGACGAGCACAGGAGAGCAACGGAAGTGACGACGAACGGGAAAGACCACAAAGTGTACAGATGGATGCGGAAGAGAGACTGGAGAGACTACATAGCCATGCCTATCGTAGAATGCGAGAAGTTAGAGCTGGCAGCCGTAGAAGAATTTTATATTTGGTGCTTTTGCCCGACCTTCAACGGTAGAAAGAACAGACATAAGGGTAGAAGGAAGAATAAACGAGGCAGGAGAGAGAGAAGAGCAGGACGCTCCCAACGTACTGTCGAGGGGGTGGCTGCACCAGTAAGCGTATAATTTGATGACAAGTTATGTTCTTCAATTATAAAGATATTGAAACAAATTCGAAATAATGGAGGGAATGGAATTATGACGATAGGGAGAGGAAGTAACTGGTGGGAAAAATGGTCCATCATCAAACGATGTTATGGTTTCTCGGAGATTTGGTATGATGGACGAAAAATACTGTTATAAGAACTCAAACTACGGAATGTGCAGGGGTTGACGTGTGAAGTACTATGGGTAGTTTTCAACCAATGAAGAGACGGATACGATCTACTAGTTGCACTGCTCAGAATACCGATCTACCGACGAATGCTATACGGGACAAATTTCACAATAGACAGGCTTATTCGATTATACAGTCAGGCTACTCAAGGTCAAGAGAGACAGGGCCGTTGTGCGTGGGATAATGACACGTACTATAAAATCCAGATTTAAAACCAACGTTAGACGCCGACTGCTGGTCAAGATCAGATACGAAGAGGGATTTAGGATGTACGAAATAAGTAAGATCTTGAAAGAAAGGATTAGAACGATATGTGTGAACACAACCATAGTTCAATTCGTCTGCAGACGCATGAGAATAGTCTGGACTGCTGCCAGATCCGTCGCACAGATATTGCACAATCACAGACAGACGACGAGGCTTGAATTGTCTGAAAGCAAATGCACATGGTTATCGTCCAATCTCGAGAAGAACGAAGAAGGACACGTGTTTTTTCGATTTTCTGACTCGGAGCGGATACCGATAGCGATGAAGAATTCGAAGAACATCCCAATTCCAAAAAAGAAGAACGGACAAAGATGAGCTCCGCAATTAAATAAAGCATTCGAAG